AAGGTGAAGATGACGATAAATACTGTAGACATGCACCTGTTTGTACATCAATTGTTCTGTCTTTAACGGTAGGACAACCAAAAGTAGAACAATTTCATCTATTGTCTGTGTTGCATCACTAATGCCCTCCAAGAACGCCTGAGCTGTCCTTATTCAAAGACATTATGCACAGCTATGGCTATTTATAGCAGCTATATTGCTATTCATTTATCACACATGTACCATCGTCGGCGGTGATCTTAACTGTCATCATCAAATGTCAGAAAGGTGATGAAGAGTCAAAAAGGTAGCTTCAGTCCAAAGACACTGAGTTTGCTCTTACAGAGATCTCAAGATCTCTGCAGTCACACTTGTGCTCTTTATTCTCAATGGTTGGATGTTCCTGTAAAGGAGCAATGTGTAATCTGGTAATCTTGTGTGAGAACATTGTCAAGGCCTCAGCTCAGCCTACACCGCTCAGAAAACTAATAACTGCTCTAGTTTAAAAGGTCCAGTGTGTAACATTTAGGAGGATCTATTGGCCAAAATTAAATATAATGTTCACAAGTTTTCATTAGTGCATAACCACCTGAATATAGGAACTGTTTCCTTAGAACAGTTTTCATCTACAGATACTGCAGGTCACCTTCCATGGAGTCTGCTATGTTGAACCTCCACGTCTCTACAGTAGCCCAGAACAGACACACCAAACCCTGGCTGTTTTTTGTGAGTTTCTCCTCCACACTTCCTGTTAGCCAAGTTGAGGTGTCCTTTTGTTTTGTGTTGCCCTAACCCAGGGGTCAGCAACCCTGTTGCTATTTCTCATGAATGAACTGCTGTGTAGGAAGAGGATTTTAATCCAACTAATCTCTGATTGGTCAACTGCTTCTCTGACAGATGAAAGCAGCTGTTAAGGGCTTATATGATGTGGGAAGTGATTCAGAGTTCTTGGCTGCATGGAGGGAGACAATAGTGTTTGTTCCAAAACTGTAAAGCGAATTTCAGAAATCAGGTTGAACTGTTGAGTCATTTGGATTTATTAACTCTATCAACCCCCTGCAGATATGCTAATATCATTTCCTGCTTTGGGGTTGTAATCTTCCCCCACGTAATATTGTACCTGCAGGTTCTGTCTCTTCCAGTCTCAACTGGCCGCTTTCTGCAAATGATTTTAAATCCAATGCCCCTGGGCTTTTGAATTGTGAATAGTGATAGCTTTTGGGTAGCAGGTGGTTTTGTAGATCTGAACAGGTTTAACCTGATGCTCTTGGCTTAGCCCTGAGGAGGCAGTGCCATAAAGTGAAAGACTGTAGGATGAATGTGGCACTGAAAACAGTCCTGCTTCCTGCTGTGCCACAGAAGTGAAAGTATCCAGGTGTGCACACAGCTGGCAGGCCAGGTACATAACGTACAGATTCCATGGCTTCTACGGTTACTGTCTTAGGAACCCAATAAATGAAGTATTGTATCTAGCCTCACCAGTGCTCTCCATCAGTTCCTAGTATTTCAGCACTGACTGATAGAGTAAGCTAATGTGCACAGGTGTCGTTTCAGACAAACTCCTTGTACAGACTTTGTGGTGGAAGCTGGATCAACCATTCAGCTTGTTTGACAAGCACACCACATTGTTGAGATTTGTGAGATGTTAGCGTCTGCTCCACTGTGACCCACATGTACCCATAACTCTCTGTTCTCCTACTGTAGATGCTTCTGCAGTTAGCCATATGGCCGTATCAGGTGTCATCTTTCTGTATATACTTTTGGTCAGACTTAGAGAGAAGTGTTTAAAGTGATTAATGTAAAAGTGTCTATTTGGAAAGTTGTAGGAGGCTCCCACAGCTTGGTCCTGCCTACAGTGACTATGTTAACATGCCAGTCTTTGGACATGCATACACTGCATTCGGAATTTGCGTCTCAGTTGTGATTTTTACTGCAGTTTGTGACACACAGCCTCTTGCCTGTTTATGGTCAGCTCTGTGATTTGGAAACAAACCAACCAATCATTGTCATTAGCCATGTAAACAGCTTAGTAGGACAATTGTCTTTTTGCAATAATGGCCAAGGGCGGAATATTTTGTGCACGTAAATGTTGTCAGTGTCTTGAGTGAGTCCTCGTTTTCCTGAATCTTTGCAACAGAGGTAGCAAGTGCAAAGTTAGCATGACTCCTAAAGTCACAACAACCACATTTATGAAAAATGTAATGAGACCAGAATTGTCCTTTAAGGTATGGTCAGGGTTTGGCAACTGAAACACTTTTTTAAATAAAATTCTGAATATTTTACAGGTCTGTGACAGTGCGCAACTCCAAACTCTTGCATGAGAGTCAAACACAATTCAGTACCCTATTTCCACACCCTTACCTTTTGCCTCGTTACATAAAGGGCACAGTACTTAATAACTCGATGACCATTTTAATATATCTTCTTTGTTTCTTTGCTACACAGGAAAATTAATTCTGCAGTTATACACTATGAAATACTATAAAATTTGGCATTCTGACAACTTTGGCAACCAAAATGTGCAAATCTGGCAGCCACTTCTAAAACTCCTGGAGTCAGGCCTTGCTCCTTTTCATTTTTTTTTATCTTAATCATCTTCAGTAAACTCATTGCAACAAAGCTCCTCACACAACAAATGACTCATTCTAATATCACAGCCTTCCATTAGAAAGAAATGAAGCTTAATTTGTTGCCAGGTATCAGCTCATACAAAAGTTTTTTTATGTCTTTATGAAATTTTCTGCACAGTAATAATGGCTTTGATTCTCAGATCGCAGTATGGGTCACCTGTCGTCATGTTGCAGCAGCAACAAACATACCAACTAACATTTCATTCAGTGTGTATTTTGGTGTTGTAGTATGCAGTCCCGGTATGGCCCTGTTTCCCTCCAGCTGTAGGTTGCCTACTTTAAACTCGACACACACAGGAGCTGCTTTTATTTCAACACAAACACCTGAGAAAAAGGACTTGAGTGCAGAACACTGTGCTCCACTGTAAACAACTTACTTCATTTTCCTTTCTCGGAGTGACACCGACATTTTAGCCTCAGAGTTAAATAAGTGTGAGGTAGCAGACACTGAATAATATTAAGGATATCCTCTGATCTCACATGAATTCTCCTTGTTGCCACACATCAGTAATTTCTCTCTGTATATTCACTGTTTATTCTGACTGGAATATTGAATTTCATATTTGTCCTCTTATCATTACAGGTACAGGGTATTCGAGGGTAAATACAAGGACACAGTACCTGTGTATTTAGTAAAGTAGATCCACAAACAAACAAAACCTGAAACATAAACAACCACAGGTTTAGCTCCAAAATCTTAATAAGGGAATTAGATAAAAACACTCAGTATGTTTGTTGTAATTGCCTTGTGCCTGCTGCAGCTATGATTGCATACAGAATGTCTGCTACTCCAGGGAGACTATGTGGAAATCCTGAAATTATTGAGGTGGAGAATTATACAACAGCTGCTCTGTTAAAAGAGGACGCTTGTCTCTAATAGTCTGCATCTTAATAAGCACAAATAGCTATGACACAGAACAGTTATTCTGTGAAATGTTTCACCCTACAGGGGGTAGCCAGAATAACTTAAACACTTCATGAAGAAGGAATTTAAATTTGAGCTAAATCAACATTACAAACACAGATACAGAACAGGATGATATTAGGCTGAATGCCACTTAGCAGCGGTTGTTGTGATCAGTTGATAATCGGTTTGAAATGAACACCAGGTCTCCTGAGTCGAACGCCAGTGTTTTGTTGACCCATCTATCCACCCCGGCCTCCTCCCTACACAGACTTAGTCGCACTATAACAACGTCACCTGACTTCCTCCTTCACTCCAGTCATATTTACTGCAGCTGCTAGAGAACTTTGTGACTTGAACATAAACAAATGTCGTTTTTGGGGCACTTGCTGAAATGACTGATGCGGTCTATCCTATGCTCCACCTGCCTGTAAAAGTAATTTAAAGTCTTTTATCCCTTCTCCTGCCATCCATCTTCTCTGTTCTTCATGGGTTATTTTCTATGCTTTTGTGTGGCTTCATTACTTTTTGTTTTGTGAGGATATTTAGATATTATCTGTATGTATTTATTTCCAATTCCACATATAGTTTTTAGGGTTATAGCATTTGATTGTTTTTACTTTGTGATTATCAGTGGGTTTTTTTGTATTATGTGTGTATTTGTTGACATGATGAGTACAATTGTCCTTGCAGGGATGAATAAAGTTCACTGAATTAAACTGAATTTTAGTATTACCATTAACCACAGCTGCCCGCCAGTAGACTAGACATTAAAAACTCATGCTGTACTCTTGTTCAAACCAACACAGTCTTATTTAAATTCTACTGATGATCCTAAAGTTTCCAAAGACACCAAATATGTGTATGACATTTTTTCTTCTTCTTTTTTGCATTACATAAAATGTATTTATAAATTACACACTCATCAAAGATTTTAAATGCTCCCAAACAAACAACAGTGTTTTAAGTACTACAATAAGACTTTTTCACCATCTAGAATATTTACATTTGATTGAACGGTGCAAGAATAAAAAACATGGTGCCTTTGGATTGAATATTTTACTCAGTGACAACATTGTATATATGCAAAACAGAACTTCAACTTTAATTAATATGAAACTGTCAAAGTGAAATAAGATGATTTTAACAACCTTTGAGCTACTTAAGGGGAAATAAAAAGGAAAACCTGTGTGTGAAGTGGTACATATTGATAGACTATTATTTTTTTCTGCAACTCTGTGACCCACTATTGAGGTAGTATTCTACAGTTAATGTGCTTAACAAACCTCAGACATAACCCCTCCCCAAGTGCTTCAAAAGGAATTGCTGCTTAAGGGCTTTGATTATTATCTTTAGTGGGATGCATGTTGCCCAACCTCTGGGTGGGAAAGGAAAATATGTGCAGTATCAGTTTGGCGTTCAGGGTGCCATTTTCTCAAGAATGATGATAGATTCGCATCCGTTTCCTGTTTCTCTCTCTGTTGCAGCGCTGCCAGTTACAAGGAGAGGGAGTATCCCCCACATCTCTGGAAAATTGCAGAGAGCAAGCAAAACATTGTGACTGGTCATCTTGAGCACGAGCGGAGACTGAAAAGCAACAATTGAACGGGACTCGGCATTTGGACGAGTGGATGAGAGCTACTGTGTGACATCAGTAAACAAACCCTCGAGGGTTGAGACTGAAGTTGGAAAATGAGTAAGTCGTGGCCCAAAATGATTGCCTTAATTACTACACATATACTGATATATGAAGTGATGAAACTAAGAGACTTATAAAAGTTTAAAGATGTTTTCTTTACATGTGAAAAAAGTGTCTTGTAAGGAACAGATGTGAATATTTTAATATGATAGAGATAATGTTTGGTTGTAATGTCGACATAATGTTTTAGTTGGGTCGGCTTCGTAGGTGTCATTGGTTACTAAATGGTGAGTTTGCTCTCTGCTTATGTGCAGTCAGCACAGTACGACTTAATCTATTTTTATCTTGTTTCATATTGTCAACCAAACAAGGCTGGCCTGAGTTGCTCACTCAAATGCTGGCAACAAACTCTTAATTCACATCGTGTCATAACACATGAAAATCCTCATTCAGAAAGTGTATAGAGGGTTGGGAGAGAAATATGAGACATATATTGACTGGCTCAATGCAACACACTGAAATACATCAGAAGAATATCCTCTTACATTAAGATCCACTTACACTAAAGCAAAGATGTCAGGCACATAAACACCATCATAAATATCTGCCACACTTACTTTCTATCACAGAAAAACAGCGGATGAAACTCGCCGGGCTTTCACCGCCCGAGAATCATCGACGCAAAGATGAAATACCTTAGGTTTTTTTCTCAGATGCAAATTTAGAGCTGACCAGCTGCTTTGTTGATATGTTTTCACTTTGAATTTAACTGTATGCAAAAGTAACATGGACGTGTGTTATATATTTTTTTAAACCTAGCCTTGATAATTACATAACCAAAGTGAAACCCTGAATTTATTGTATGTTGTGGACTTCTGGAAAATGTTGTGACATAGATGCACACTGAATAGGAAAAAAAATGTAAATAGCAGACATTTATACTTGTGTGTCCTAAGATGTGTTGCAGATAGAGTAAATTGAGACTTTTTACTTTCTTTGACTGTTATGACCATCGATCATAATCATCTGTGTTTGGTTTGTTCTCGCTGATACAATCATGTTACTCATATTGTTGCGAATGCTGCTCCAACATTCTTCATTGTCATGTTTTTGGCAGTTTCTTTCTTTCTGTCTTTCTTTTCTTTTTTTTTTTTTACATACTGCCCATGAAAATTCCACCTACTCATTGATTTGGCATACTAAAACATGAGGCTGCTGATGTTGTTTGTGCAGTTTTGTCAGAGAAGCGTTGGAGTTTGTTACCTCTCTTAGACCTGCAATGTTGCCCTTGAATTTAATGATTAGAAATGTCCACTGACATGGCAGTTTTATTTTAGTTTTTGGAAGTAGTAGTAAGTTGTATCACATATTTTACTGAAGACAGTATTTTACTTTCCCATATTTTCCTTTGACAAACATCTTTTGCATACTGTGTCAACTATAATGGCACTTAAAAAGCTTGAATTAAGAGCTCTTGATCCTAGTGTCTTTTTCCTATACTCCTAAAGAAAATCCAAAGTTCACATTCTCTTCACTTTTTCCGAAAAATTCGTATCTGTAATTACCTCAATAATAGCATCCCTCAGAAAAGCTGTTTACTGAATGTTCCAGATATTTCCTTAGCGTCAGAAAAACTCGTAACCACAAAATAGCCACAACAGTTTTAAAACAGATGTCAATAGTTTACTTGGGAAATCCTTATGGGAAGGTTGTTTTTATTGGGAGGGAGTCCACACCAAAAGTTTTACCAGAAAATCTCCAACACAGTTTAGGGACTGTGAAATCGAAAGTTGTTGCTTCTTTCAAAAATAAGTAAAAGAAAAGAAAGATAACTGAAACTGAAAATTAAACTGACAGTGGACTGTCATATCAGGTTGCCTGTTAACTCAGATCAGATTATTTAATTATCTATTTGAGAATGAATAAGCTAACTACAAGAGAGGACAATTACATGAGGATTTAGGTAACAGTAGTTTTACAGTTTTACAAATAGTTTTGGGGAATACACCTCTTTCCAAGAGTTGGATGAGAAGATCTATGAAACTCTAATGTGGATACAGTAAATATGAGGCTACAGCCAGCAACCAGTTAGCTTACCCCTTATTTATTTATGCATATCATATGAATATTCAAGCTCATCATATTAATAGTTCTACATCAGGACCTCCAGCCATTTGGATCAAGTAGTGGCCCATCTGTTGGTTGCCTGGCAACCTCACAGTGATGACAAGACTTCAAGAAGTTACCAAATAATGATTCAGCACATAACCCATGGTAAAACATACACTTCAGTGTATGTATGAACTATAACAGACAACATATAGTGTGTTACTTACTCCAACAAAACCAGTTTTGTTACCTTTGGACAGAGCCAGGCGAGCTAAACTTCCTCCTTTTCTAGTCTTTACGCTAAGATAAGCAAAGCCAACCAGCTGCCTGCTGAAGCTACATATTTACTGTACAATCTTCTTAGCCAAGTGTATATTCCAAAATGTCCTTTCAGAGGTAAATTATAGCACACTAATCTTGTCAGATTATGGGCCTCAATCACAAGCTGCTCCGAACCTGAGCGGATCAGCCGGCAGTGGCCTTAGTTCTGGCCTGGAGTTTCATCAAGAGGGGCCGGCCTGATGATTTGAGGCTGAATTCTGATGCAGAACTATCATATCAACAGCCGTTAATGAGAGACAAATTAATCTAGCTAGTGATATGTTGAGCTGCAGCTCTGTATTATCACAAAGCAGCACAGAAGACGCTAAGCCAAAGAGTAATATGCCCACAGGTTGCTAGAGAGAAAAAGAACAGGACAAGCATGAGAATTGATCTTCGAGGCCACCACGTCCAATCAAGCAGAACAAATAGCACCAAAGGAGACAAAGAAATCTGTTTAACTGGACGGTCATTTCCTCAATCTATGAAGTAAAACTATTCATTTGGTTAGAGGCTGCAATTATGTCAAGTTGCACTGATACAGTGCCCTCACTTAAATCAGGACATCAGTAGTAACCCAGAGAATGGCAGTGTACTATAATGTACGAAGCAAGAAAATAATAAAGGTCAATTTTGAAGCAGATTGAATATTACAGATAGAAAAACTATTTATCCTCATGTGTGAGTTGAATGAGACTCAAAATAAAAAGGTTATAAACCTCAGTTATCCACATGGATATTTATCAAGAGGTTCATATCATGAGTGAAAAAATATCCTAAAGACTAAAAAACAAAATCAACATTTTCTTCGACTTACTAGATATTCCTGTGGATGTTAAAATTACCTGTAGTACTTATTTTGTGATAAGTGTTGTAAGCTGTTAGGGAGGTTAACAGATGGGGCGTTAGATAACACACAGAACAAGGTGAGATGAGGTTTTTTTTTAAAATTATGATTAAAGTCACAGTCGCAGCTACTGGCCAGAGGAGCAAGAAAAGGAGGCGATTCATTTTCAGTTCTAATGTTAAAAACAAACAGCCTGTCAAATTGAATAGAACTGAGCTCATTAGAAAGAAAATTCTTGTTGTGGATTGATTTCGCATCTCGGTGTGAGAAACTGCTTTTCTGTTGAAGCTCACGTATTTCTGAGGCCTAAACATCTCTGAGACTCCTCCAATCCTCTGTGCTTTCCACTGAGCAACTCGGTAAGATTAACTTTAAGTCGAATGCCTCTGCGAATCAATAACAAAGGATTTCTTCTAAAAAACAACCAATTGACCACAGATCTAAAGCCATGCAAAACAACAGCCCTGTGTTAAGATTTAGTGATGTACTAAATTTAAACAGCTTTCAGTGTTGCCAGATTAGGCTGACACAAAACAGCCCAATCGGATCACCGGGCCTTCCAATTCGTCATAAATATAGTCTAATTTTCAATTTTCATATATAAAACAGGTGCTGGGAAGGAGCCTCAGGATTTTCCTCCATCCTCCTGTTTTATTTGTACAATTAGGCAAACCCCAAGCCACCCTAAACAAGGTTATAACAATGAAAATCTCAACCAAATCTGTTGCATAGCAGTTTAACATTCAAATATTTGCTTGTGCAAATAGATATAAGATTTACAGATCATTTACCACAGCTATAACTAAATAATAACTAGGAAAAAAGTTTCACCCGAGGTGTACTAAACTTAAATCTCATGTTTTTACTGAGGAGTATTATTGAAATTGACGGGGTCAGTTCTCAGAAGAGATTAGCAGCTGATCCACATTTTTGCTATAAAAAGTAGCCCAAATCATCACAAGCTGCCCAAAAGCATTTCTTATCCACCTCATCAAATAAATAAAAAAGGCCAATCTGGCAACACTGACTGCCCATAGTGATCAGGATGGATGGGATCCAGAAACTATTTGGACATCTAAGTTTATTGTTCATGTCCTGAATTTGGTTTAAAAAGAGAGCTCTCCAAAAGCTGAGGGACATATTTAAAAAAGACAAACTGACTAAGCCCAATATCTTCACATTGCACCCAGGCAGCACTGTAGACGTCTCCATAAGGCTCAGTTTGATATAACATATCATGGACACATACACAAATAAAAGTAACGCATTAGTCTGAGGATAGAAACAGTGTTTGCTGTAACATCCACAGCGTTAGATAACACTAGGAACCCGTTTTATGTCTTAATCTCCTTATAAACAAGGTGGCTTATGAGGAGCAATGCAAAACTGTTGAACAGTGACGCAGTTTCTGTTCGTTTAGTACTTGTGCTGAATAGTATGTGACAGACCAGATTTCGGGTTGTTTTGCACCATCTGCTTCCTGCAGAACAGTATTAGTGCTCTTTGCTGCAAATACAATGATTACAGTGTTTGCCTGGTCACATCTGTATTTAGGAAATTGTCTCAGATAGGAGACAAATAAAATGCTTTGGAGAATTTATACGTATTTGTTGAAAGGCCTTGGTATAGACAGCTAATGTCAGGATATTGCTCAAATTACTGGGTTAACAACAAGGATACCACACGGCATTTGATCTGAGAAATACTCAGTGGTCACTCCATAAAGCTGTCATTTTGGTGATAATTACAAGATGATACATTTTATCGGAGATTATAACATTGATTTAATGATAACAGCCTTCATTAGCTTAAATATACCCAAATGTAACTTTCTTATTTTGGAACACTGTTCGCTTTCTGGCTCATAGTGTACCAGAGCAGTGAGGAGACAGACTATGTTATAGGAATTATATGCTGAAGAAGAGGGGGATTAGCATTTCCACCAATGTATCACAGTGTCATAGTGTGAAAAAAGTTACACACACACACACACACACACACACACACACACACACACACACACACACACACACGGAGTCCGAGAGTCACAGCAGCCAGTGAGTTCACTGCTGCCAGAGTTTCCTTGAGCAACTTGACTGCTGCTGTCCTGTCTGCGTGTCTCAAACGGATATGTGAACACACTCCTACAGTAATTACACCAGCCCTCATTCATGAAGCTACTGGACATTCAGATATGAGCTTTACAGTCAGTACAATTAAAGAGATATGTCTTTGATTGTGGATCACAAACACAGCTGCAACACCCAGTCGATTATTCGATTAGAGAGTCAACAGAAAATGAATTGGCAAAGACTTTGATAATCGTTTTAGTGATTTTTTTAGGCATTAATGCCAAACGTTCTCTGGTTCCAGCTTCTCAAATGTGAGGATTTGATGGTTTTAACAGTCCCTCCAGGATTTCACAGGCTTTTTTTGGAACTGAAATGCCTGATATCATGGCCGCTTTTCTAAAAAATGCATGTTGCAAAGTTTATAGGCATTTTTCTTTGCAATAAAATAGTGGGAGAAAATGACAATCACACAAATAGTTGTGATTATGATCTCTTTTTTTTGTCTATAATTCATTATAAATAAAAAGCATCTTGTTCCAGTGAGGATAAAATCCCACTGTTTGGACACAACTAGAAACAAGGAAGCGAGTTTGGTGACATATATAATGATTTTGTGGTGATTGGACAAAATTGCAAGGTCGCACAGAATTCACATGGGTTGGTTGAATTTGCTTTAATTGTTGCAATTGCAACTTCCAGGAGGGACTGTTTTAATCTGCCATATATGACAGTCAATTGATTATCTTTGAGTTTTTCTGTCAAACAATCTGAATATATAAAAGGTATCTTTCAAAATTTTTGTGACATTTTATTGAACAATAAATCAATTAATTAAATCAGTTATTAAAATAATCCTTAGTTGCAGCCCTAATGGAAAACAACACGAATGTTAGGTCTTATGGTCTGTGATATAGCAATGTATTGCTTCATATCACTTTTGGTAACAAATAGTTCAATGCTCTGGGAGCTGAACACACTTCAACATAAGAAAAATCTTCACCACGTTGTTAAAGCATTTAAAAAAAAAGTAAAACATGGTTAAATTGAAACACGCAAATAAAGAAAATACAACAAAATTCAGATTTTCTTTGGTTGTGTTTTCTATATTTGCAGTGCATTCTGTTATGTTGGACATGTGTTGTCCTTTGACCGTGTTTTGCCCCTTTGAATGTGTTTTCTTTAATTGCAGTGTGTTGAGCTCTCAGGGCCACCGTAATTCTTGATAGATTTAACAGCCTGCTGACAGTCTTAAAGAAGATTTTGAAAGCACAGAACATTAATGGATGATTAGACGCTGTGTACTACACTATTACTATGGTGACACTTGGTAACCGCAGCAGATCTTTTGTCAGATTACATTCAACAGACTACATGTGGTGGCATGGCACATTTATTTTCAACAAGCCTCCAAATGTATGGGCCAAGAATCATTTAGCATGTATACGTTTGACATACAATGTGTAAATTGCCATTTTTTGTCTCTGATTCATCAATCTACAATATAATTTAATATTTAGATGACAAAGTCTCAAGTGTCTTTGTATTTCTCAACTTTACTCCACGAGAGCTTGATGAAGGCGGGCCACTGTGTGTTAAATAAAATAATGAGCTACACAAACATACAAATATAAAATATATATTTACATGAGAGTTTGACAGGACAAGGATGGGATTTAAACCCATAATAATCAGGTGTCTATGCAAGTTGGTGCAGTTTGGTCAGCCAAGGCCACGGTCACACTGAAGCGATGGTTATAATCCAGTATATCTACATTAGTCATTATGATTCTCACTATCATCTCACCTACAGAGAGGTAAACTATCTACATGCAGCCAGCAGAGATGTTGCTGCTCTGGCATAATTGTGTTTTGGGAAGACGGTGGTGGTGCATTTGTTTTAATGTTACTGCTTCACGTTATGCGAATGCTTAATATTCAAACTGTTTATCTGCCACTGCCTTGTCACTCATAACAAAAGAGGGAAATTATCATCAATCAGCAAAGGAAAACTGACAGTAACTATTAACGAACATGTAAAATATTTCTACAGTTCAGGTGTTGAGAAATATCCATGTGAGTTTTGGCCAGCCTTGCTTTTATTCTGCATGATGCTTTGTTTTGAGAAAAATGCATCCTAATCCAAGGTATGTTTGTATTCTTTTTCCTGAGGGTGCTCCTCTCCTTCTCTTTCACTCTCTCTATCTCTCTGTATCTTTGGAGCTTGTCACTTCTGACCTTAATTCTCCCTTTTTGTTTTCTTCTTTGTTTTATTTTTTGGTAAACCTTCCGACTTCTGGATTTTCTACATTCATAACATTTTGTAGACAGCAATATGAGATGTGATTGAAAATGGAATATGTGCAATGTTGATTAAAGAAAAATATAATATATTAAATAAAAATTCAGAAAACAGAAGTGTTTTAAGGTGTGCTTTTTTTGTTTGTCAGAGGTGAACTGCTGATGACTAGGACATAGATTTTACTGCAGCAGCATCTCACTTTAAACCCACACACTACCTCGGGTTCAAAAGTAGTTTAGCCGACTTTGAGCTGAGAGCATCAGAGCAGCAAACAGAAATGACCGATAGCTTTGTAGTTAGGTCATTTTGAGACTTGTAAAAGTTTATAGCCTACCATGCTGTTATCCCCCGTAGCTGAGTCAGTGATTTGACTGACAATAAGGTGCTTCTCGATTGATGATTCAAGTCATCTACGTTTAGTGGGAAGCCATACTGTTTTCACCTGTCAATCTAGATGTATTTAGTTTGACTGTGCGACCGCAGTAAGGGTGGTGTTGCTACAGGGTTCAAGACATGAATTAAGCAACAAATGAGTCTGTCCACAGGAGTTTTCTACCCTCTCTAATAAAAGATACAACATTGTTTAACCTCCAGACCAGGGTGGTGTCAGTAGCCTTGCTTATTAGTAACCAAATTGAGTCCGAGTCTTGTGTCCAAATAAAGGAAGATTACTACACAGAACCTTATATAATATTTGATGTAAAGAGAGGGCAGAGGTCCCTGTGTGTTCAGTTAAGAACAACTGACAATTAAAGTAGGTAGATAGAAATGTGTTTTTCTGTGATTTTGGTGTTGTTTCACTGGCCCGTGTAAAACAATTTGAAGAACCATCTGTTTGAAAAAATCCAGTTGAAGAACCCTGATTTGTTTTGGTTATCTGAAGGTGAAATGTTGAGTTGGCCCGTAAAGGAAGTGATTTCTGTCTTAGCAAGATTTATAGAAAATGCATGACAGAGAACACTGTATCCAACATTATGAGACATTTCTGTCATGGAAATTAAATGTTATGAAATGTTCTCTTTTTAAATTTGTGGAACTGTACATTATGATTTGTTATGTCCTGGCTGTTGCTGCTGTCCCATATGTGCTGGGCACCACATGGTGCAGGATACTTCGATCAATCAATCACTCATAAAAAGGGGTAAATGGAAATGGAATTTGTAAGAATTTCCTCAATTCTGAGTCATAGTCTTTTTGCTTCTTACAACTCTCACTTTTACACAGCTGTGATCACGGTGCGATTATGATCTAGAGAGACAGAGAGAAGCAGGTTATTCTCTTCTCTGGTGGTTTCTGAGATAACATTTCCCCATCCTTTTGCTCAACCTCTACTCCAGCACCGCTGCAAAAGCAATAAGATCATCATTGCAAGAAATGTATATTAAACCAATTACTATATCTACTCTGACTATTCTGCTACTGTATTCTCAGTGTTAAAAACCAAAATGATAATGTCATGCAATCCAGCGCTTGGTGTTGGCATACAGAGAAGCTAATTTGCTAAAGCTCAGCATATCTCCCTCCCTGACTGTAACTGTTTTGTTTGCTGTTGGCTGAACTGTTGGGACATGTTTATGTACATCGCTTGTGTCCCTCAGACAGAATCAGCTCTGTCAGCAGCGGCTGAGTATCACGGTGACAGAACGTTTTCATCCACCGTGGCCTTTTACGGTGGTTGCTTTTGAAACTTGATGCCTGAGCCATTCATGTTCGACACCGTTTAAATATTTTAAATAGGTCCGTTGTGGTGCAATTACTTGACTCTTGGACAAACACCAGTTCATCCGTCAAGCTGGTGATGGACACACAGCAGCCAGGCTGTGCTTTTTCTCCTCACTGCAAAACACACAAGTCACGGAGGATTCAGCCTGTTCACCTTCAACAAACCTTCACAAATCAGGGAAAAGCAACAAATAGTTCATAACATTTAATATTTTTAATGCCCAACAGACCTTTGAGAAACTAAAGGAATTTGTCATGAATCTGTTTGCATGACCCTGAAAGGTCGATGTATGTCTCTGGGATCAGGTCAGGGTGAGGAAAATTAGAACAGATATATATAGTAACTCACCCTTTACAACTGTCTGCACAAAACAAGACCAGGTACACAAGGTCTATCCTACACAGTCACAGGAGCATTGCACACACACGCATGCACAAAGCAACCACAAACACTGAAAAGCACTAAACGTTTGCCACACACCCAGACCAACTCATTCAAATGACTGCTCCGTCACTGTAAGCCAACCTGAAAAATCAGCGATGCAGCAGATGCTGGAGATGCTGTTTTGCTCATGTGGTTGTACTTGCATAAACTATGAATGTGAACAAATCAGTCAGTCTGAGGTAGCTGCAAACCATTATTGTAACATGTTACTTCTTGGATTTCTTTTGTATGCGTGTGTGTGCACTCTACATACACTGAAACAGTGAAATAATGCTGTTTGATGTATATTGGTAATTCTGACAGCCTAAACATATTTATTTTTATATTTAAATTTTAGTGTTTGACCAAAGCATTTTTCCTAATCAGACTTAAAATAAGTTAGCGGCCGTTTGTGTAAGTTTACATTGTAACATCCTGGGGTAGGCATGCACCAGCCCCAGCATGCACTTGGGCACCAATGTGAGTTCTTGCATTGTTAACGTTGTTATTGGGATTTATATTATGTTCTATAATGTTTCCACTTTTTCTATACTTGTTTAGAATGTGGTTAGGCCACAAGTGGTACAACTGGTACACAGTGCTCCACAATGTAAGCACATACTGTATAGTTGGCTGAGTAGAGGCTAATGTAAGCCATGAATCCAAAGGCTCTTACTTTTATCTTCTGCCAGCATGCTGACCCCAAAAACTTTGCCACACTTGGCAAAATGGATCAATCTCTTATTTTATTTTTTATTTTTTAAAAGATGAGTCCAGGTTAAAATAGTTTAACTTATTTAGAGCTGAAAAATCACAATAATCTTAGTGTAATTATAAATGTTACATACAGACAGAAATGCTGCCACAGCACTGTCTCAGCTTCACACTTGTCCCATCTTCTGCCGCTTCTGTCAGTGTCTGCTACGGTCTTCCAGGAAAAGACCCCATCACTCAGAGGTGTAAGACAACACCTGACAGGAAACAATATCTCGGCACATGGTCGGAGCCTGCTCTCATACATTCATGCCAGTGAATTTGGCGTTCACCGTTTCCCCTCTGCATGGAAACCCAACGCCGCTGTACTGCATGCTGCCGGCCCCTGAAACCCAATCAGCCAAATCCCAAAAGGTACCTGCTCCTTTACAAACAACGCTTCTGTCGCAAGGGCCGCGGATGGAAAAGTTGTCAGCAACAATTGTGTTTGCTGCTATAGACAAACTGTTCTTTTACATCCTGAAAATGTCAGTAGGCCTTCTGCCAGACAAATACAGCATGACTCAGGCCAGTGACCTCCCCAGGGGAACATTTACCAGCTTCTGCACTTAGATCCAGTGGCGCTGACCTTGGACTTACTCCCCTGGCATACTCCTTTCACTCTCAATTTATTAAATTTGACAGTCAATGACGTTGGATGGATGTGTTGTAAAGGATAGATATAGCATTTTTCAGTATTGCTGTCATATTTATCTATGTCTGAGATGATAGATTTATGTAGACTTAGAAAAATAGGGATTGAGAGCTAGAGATTAATAGAGATAGATAAAGGGACAGATAGATGGATGGATGGACCAATAGATCAATGTAAAGACAGATAAGTTCACTACATGCAAACATCCCGACAAACTGCAAAATAAGATCAATTCTGAGGAAAAGTGAGTGGAGAGAAAGAGACAAGAAAGCAGAGCAATCCCAAATCAACCAAGTTACGTCGAACCATCAGCGATTTTTATTGGATTTATCTGACAGCCAAAGAGCTGCTTTGAAGTTAGCAGGCTTAAGCAGCTTGTTAAGTTTCAAATCTTTCTGCACACAAAGTGGGAAGAAATCACAGTTTGGGTTGTCAGGGTAAGGTGTTATTACTCTGATAAGACTATCCTAAGTGTGAATTCAATCCAAATGTGTTTCACTTCTTGCAGCTTCCTTACAAACAGTGAGAAATGGATACTGTCAGATATTTTTTTTGGTTTATTAATAACTGTCTCATCCACATATTCATGGTGTTTTAATTAGGTATGAGTGCGTACGCCATTATCAGTTTCTGCATCCATTCAACCAACTAAATTATCTGTATTTGTATCCACACTCCGGAGCGGGTAGGATTAAGTTGTTAATTTAGGCCTGAAATTGATACGGGTTGATCAGAAGTTGCTGTATTTATTAGAAAACTTTACAGCAGCCTTAGAATTGTGCTTCAGAGCAATGTTTTGACCACAAGAGTAAGAGAGCTATTCACTTTTTTTTTTTTTTTAAGAAAAATTACTATATTCACGATTTAAATATTGACACACTTTACTCTGATGAAACTCATACTCATAAAGAAGGTATATCACTGGATACTTGTTTCAGCCGAATCCTCACTCAACCCTGGTTTTAATGTTCATGCTTTTTTTCTGTAACAGAAGCTTCTGGGTTTTAACATTTTCAAAAGACAGAAAGTGCCATCCGTTGTCAAAATGTCAAATCTCAGATGCTGAGAGCTGCACTCGACCCAGAATAGAGCCTCTGACAGATCTTCATCCATCTCTGACACTTCAAGGTGTGAGAATGGAAAGAGGTCAGGGTTCAAAGTGTCCAAAACAGGCCCTGGTCTGGTCTGGCATCTGTACTCAGCAGGTTTGGCATCTCGGTGTCGGGGCCTCCCACGACATGTAAGTGTATCCTCGCTGCCAATCATGGCCGTTGTCTCCAAGGTAAGGTGGAGGTGAGTCTATTTCTGTTTGGAAAAAAAATGTGTTTTCTCTGCTCATGTGGTGGAAGAGACCAAACAGGTGACTGAGTGTGTCCTTTTCCACCTCGCTCATCCCTCCACTGCAGGCCAGACAGAGCGTCTCCCTACACAGCTTTCTCAGACCATGATGCATGATAGCCCAAAGTGGTCGCACAGCTGGGTCACTGCTGAGCACCTCGCCGCTCTGACGCGTTAGTGAATAGCAGCACAATTCATTCTGTTGCAGATTGCGCGATTCAGTC